CTTTTCCACCTCACTATTTAAAAATGCAATGATCCAATCGCTTCCACTTCAGGTATGGCTCTGTTCCTAAAGAACGTGGCTTTCCATGGGATCCTGCTTGATGCTTTGTTTGAAGAAGGGAACAGGGAATGGGAAGAGGTGTCTGATCTGCTGAAGAAGGGAATCTCCAGTGGAGTTGTTCAGCCGTTGCGTACCACAGTCTTTGAGAGAAACCAAGTGGAGGAAGCTTTCCGCTACATGGCTCAAGGCAAACACATCGGAAAAGTGCTGCTACAGGTAAAGATGGTAAACGTTCATGAGTGTGCCTATAAAACGAGAAATGAGATGTTGGATGTTAAGATTTTTATTTTTTTTTTGACTTTGTAACCTCTCAGGTGCGTTCAGAGGAGTCAAGCAGCTCTGGTCCTGCAGTGTCTGCTCTCTCTATCCCTGCAATCTGCCGAACTTTCTGTCCCGCTTCTCTATCGTACATCATCACTGGAGGCCTGGGTGGCTTCGGGCTGGAACTGGCCCAGTGGCTCACAGAGAGAGGAGCTCGTAAACTGGTGCTGACGTCACGGTCTGGCATCCGCAACGGTAAACATACACTGGAGATTGACCAGTTTTCATGACGGTGTGGGTTAGTGATAGTTAGCTAAAACTTTAGATACTTAAAATTTTATTTTACTTCAAAAACTGAGTTAAAGGTGAAATTAAATATAAATATTAGATGGAAAAAAAACTTTTCAATTAGTTCATGAAGCAACAATTTTGAGTACAGCAGTTACTTAAACTAAAATGAAATAACTTTGTTAAATAACCATATATATAAGCATAAATACATATAGAAAAAGAAAAAATATATACAATATATTATGACATAGATCCAACATCACTTTTTATTTAACTACTGTCCTGTCACAAAGGCCAAAGACACCAAAAATAAATCTAATATATGTATAATAATATATTAATGATACATAATTAAACAATAATTAAAGATAAATAAATAAAAAAATTAATTAATATTAATAAAAATAAAATTGTCACAAAATTATTAAAACTTAAAATTAAAAAATTAAAACTAACAATAAGCAAAATAAAAATTACCACTATATTGATAGAATGTGAATAATACAATAGCACTGATTAGGGTAACACTTTGGTGTTTTGTTTGAAGGTTATCAGGCCAAGCGTGTTCGTGAGTGGCAGGCCATGGGCATCCAGGTCCTCGTGTCCACCAGTGATGTCAGCACCCTGGATGGCACAGAACGGCTCATCACTGAGGCCTGCCGCTTGGGTCCAGTTGGCGGCATCTTCCACCTGGCCATGGTAACATACAGTTATTGCTATTAGTTTACATTCATTTAGTCAATAGACAGACAGTGCACTTGTGACATTTCCATCTGTAATATAGGTCCTTAAAGATGGTATGCTGGAGAATCTGACCCCACAGGAGTTCATTGAAGTCAACAGACCGAAATATGATGGAACCATCAATCTCGACAGGTGAGATGACACATCCTATTGTGGATGATGATCAATTTTAGAACATTGAAGGTAAAACTTTTTGTAATTTTGTAATAATGTTGAGTGTTTGAGTGTATTTTAGTAGATTATAAATCTTTTTTTATGATTCCAGGCAGCGTTTTTATGCAAAAAATGTATGATTATGTTTTTGATTATATATTATATTATATTATATTATATTATATTACTTTATATTATATTATATTATATTATATTATATTATATTATATTATATTATATTATATTATATTATATTATATTATATTATATTATATTATATTATATTATATTATTATATTATATTATATTATATTATACTATATTATGTTATATTATATATGAGTAACAATAGTTCTTTAGCCTATATTTTTTAAAGATTTCATATACATTTTTTTGTATATACATTTTATTTATGTATTATATATGTTATATATTTATTATATGAATATTTTTAGTACAAAAGTGTGTAAATGATTATTAATAATACTGTTTGCATTATGAAATTGAACTTTTTTTTTTTGCTGATATCATCTTAAATTTTGTAATTTTTATAATTTTTTTTAATGTGTTGAATTTAAAAAAATTGCTCCTTTTCCACAGTGTGACTAGGCAGAAGTGCCCGCAGCTCCAGCAGTTTGTGGTGTTTTCCTCTGTCAGCTGTGGTCGTGGTAATGCCGGCCAAAGCAACTACGGCTTCGCCAACTCCACCATGGAGCGAATCTGTGAACAGCGCCGTCAAGAAAACCTGCCAGGCCTGGCCGTACAATGGGGTGCCATTGGAGACGTGGGTGTCGTTTTGGAGACCATGGGTGGCAACGATGCTGTGATAGGTGGCACGCTGCCCCAGCGCATGTCTTCCTGTTTGGAAGTGCTGGATCGCTTCTTGTGCCAGCAAAGGCCTGTGATGTCCAGCTTCGTGTTGGCAGAGAAAGTGGTGGTCACTAAAGGAGAAGGAAGTGGACAGAAGGACCTGGTGGAGGCTGTGGCTCATATTCTGGGTAAAGCTTACATATAACATCTTTATAGCAAGACGAAAAGTCCAAACGAACAAAAAAGGCACTAGTTTTAGATCCTTAATCATAGTTCCTTCTGTTGACTGATGACATTAAGAGTTGAAAACATTTTTAGTATTTTAAGAAGTTTCTGATTTGTTATGTTTAAAGTTGCAAATGAGCTAATATTACATTTAAATATGCTCTAACTCAGTGTTTCTCAACTGGTGGGTCGTGACCCAAAAGTGGGTTGCGGGAACATTTTCAGTGGGTCGCGGAGTGTGTGGTAAAAAAAACAACAAAAGTTAAATTTTTTTACTTATTTTGCTTATACCGGACTTATATATATATATATATATATATATATATCTTGAAGACAAAAAAGACTTAAAGCCTCAGTGTCATATGTAGTGAGGTGCTCTCATAAGAGAGCATGAAATCTTCTATGTTAAAACAACATTTAGAAACCAGAAAACATGTTTTATTAAGAGTTTATTATTAACAATATTTTTCGTTTTTACTTTGTAATATTTCTATAATTTGATCCATTTTGTTAAATGACAGCAATAAAATTGTGTTTATTTGAAAGTCTTGGTAAATTTCTTATGATGTATCTGTCACTACTTGTTTATGTTAACAAATAAATACAAATTGAGTATAATTCCTAAAATTGTATTATAGTTCCTAAAAATTTGGGTCGCGGCTTGATGACCATGTAAAAATGTGGGTCCCACGGCCAAACCAGTTGAGAACCCCTGCTCTAATTTGCCTAATTTGCATTCATTATATATATGTACTCATATATGCCAAGCATTGCATATATACACACAGTACACCCCACAAATCTCTCACTTTTATTAGTATTTTCTATAGGATGCTTTATATTTGTGCAAAAAAATTGGTTTAGTCAGTACTAAAGCCAAGTCTGGAGCTAATCTAACCAAATAACTTAACAGGAATGGTTCAAAAATTTGTTGTCCAAATTTAAATGTTATAGAATAATATTAAATAAAATCAAAAATAGCAAAAATCAAGAGAAACAAAAAAATATACAATTTGTTAAAATGTTGTTAAAATTTTTTAAATGTATGTCTTTCCATTTCTAAAGATTTTCCATGACTAAAATATTATTTTAATAAATATATCTGTTTAATAAATATGTTTTTTTCAAATGCACCAATATATATTGCCCATATTTACTGAGAAATTCATAAAAAATATTCATTTTCAAAATGGGATGTACTCAATTATGCTGAGCACTGTGTATACTGTATGTGTATATATTATATTTACTTATAAAGCACAATGAAACAAAAGTTATTGACTATTGTGCTGTACATACTTTGGGTCATAAAAGATAAAAATAGACAACAACAGATAAAACAACATGCGATACAACCAACACAACACAAAACATTGAATGCATGAAGCAGAACAAAGATAGGCACAATAAGGTCAACTTCCTCCCAATTTATAAGCTTTTTAAAAAACAAGAGATGTAGTTTGAGTTTCCCTTTGAACAAGGATTCATTAGAGATTGTTCTAATAGACAAAGGTAGCCCATTTCACATTTTACGACCTACTACAGAAACAGCCCAGTCTCCTTTTTTCTTTAGTTTGGAACATTTTCTGGCTCTAGGAACTTAAACATCTGCCAGATATTTTAACAGTAATAAGATTAGAAAGATATGGCGGTGCCTGACCATTCAATACCTTAAAAACATGAGGTAAATTTTAAGCTCTATTCTAAAACATTTCGGCAGCCAGTTTAAGGAGCACAGGATGGGGGTAGTGTGTTCAAATTTACGGGTGCCAGTGAGAAGCCGAGGAGACATTTTGGGCCACTTGTAGGCGATTTATATAGGATTGGCCAATACCTATATAGTATATCTATTAACAGGGAAAAGGGAGGATTTTGTTTCTTTTCTTTCTTTTCATCACTCATCTTTCTGTAGAATAAAATGTTACGTTTATGTATATAAACTTGCAAATTTGAATGAACAAATTCCTGTGTAAAAACCTTTAGATGGAACAAAGCTGTGGATCATTTGATCACATCCAGATATGAGTAAAACTGTAACGTGATGCTGTAGTAGAGACAAAACAGCCTTTAAAAATGTGTTTTAATTGACATGTATAGACACAAATTTATCAAGTGCGACAAAAGTATGAAAAACCCCCACTATGAAATCCATTAAGGTGCATGAAAAAGCAGTGTTTGTCTGTAGCGTCTCACCTTAAAGTCTAATAAATTCTACATTCTGCCTGTTTTCAGTGTAAGTGTTGTGTTTTTTTGCTCAGGTGTGCGTGACGTGAACAGTCTGAATGCTGACGCCTCATTGGCTGATCTGGGTCTGGATTCACTGATGGGTGTTGAGGTCCGGCAGACGCTGGAGAGGGACTACGATATCGTGATGGCAATGAGGGAAATCCGACAGTTGACCATAAACAAGCTGCGGGAGCTTTCCAAGCAATCAGGAGGGAAAGAGGGTGAGCTTGTGATTTGGAAAAGAATGTTTTATTATATACAGGAACTTTCTAAAAGAATAAGAAATTCAGGAGATGTCTTTCGATATTTTAGATAAACTTTGTATTATTTGGAGATAAGAACACCAGTGTAATAATAATAATAACAAATTTTGTTTCTCTCAGAGTCTCCTGTAAAGCGTTCTGGTGCTCAGGCTCTGTTGGAGTCAGATCTGAGCCGGATGCTGGTGAACCCAGATGGCCCCACGATGGCCCCGCTGAACGAGGTCCAGAGTGCAGAGAGGCCTTTGTTCCTGGTTCACCCCATTGAGGGCTCCATCGCCGCCTTCCGCACCCTCACTGCCAAGCTGAGTGTGCCGTGCTATGGACTGCAGTGCACTAAAGGTACAAACACCAGCTCAGGCTGCTCTATCACTGCTGCACTTGGATGAAAGTTTACAAAAGCATTTGATCAGATGTTTCATAAATGTCATCATGACTAAGGTATATAAAAGAAGATAAAGAAACGTTTTGCTTTGTTTTTTATAGTTTGTTTATTAACTAAGTTTGTAGTGGTGTAACGGATCACAAATCTATTCAGTGACATAACTTTGATGGTTGCTTTGATGGTTGATGGTCGCCCCCTTTTGGTTAAACAATGTAATTGCTACAACATTCACCAGCGTCAAGTTCCATTAAACAGTGATTTTAATCTTTACCATAAACATCAGTGTTTCTATCTGAACTATAAACTGTTTTCCCAGTGCTTCTGTGTTATGTAATTGTTTGTAACTAACTGAAAAAAGTTTAAGAACTGAATCTCTCTCGATCAAACCCAGTTTTGAATGCAGCGATTCGAAGGATTGAAAAACATATGCAAATCATCATCATTTATCATTCATGTTGCACGGGTTTGAATTGAGAGCACAAACTTTTATTGTTTAATTGTGCAGCTTTACACTAAATGCATTAGTGCAGGCTAAGCGAGCAGTGACAGAAAACACCTTTAATTAATAGCCTAATAAAGCATTAATTCCGTCATCATTATTTTTTAGGGAAGCCAAAATGTTTCATACCCCTGATTTGAATGTCACAGGAGGCGATCTCTCTGCAATTGTCATAAATGTTGGATTAACATTCAAGTTCAAAAAAAGGTATTAATCCACGGGTCATGTACGAGCTGTGGGTTGTGATCCGTTACACCCCTAATGTTTGCCTTGCTTTAGTTCAAAAAAATAAATATGAGCTGTTAACCTATTGTAGATTGAGAGCAGTTGCACAAAAACAAATTCACCTGCCTTTTTTTTTTTTGGATATTTAGAGACAATTTTTACCTATTAACATATGTATTTTGAGAAAACCTAATCTTACATTAAATTAATTTATTTAAGAGTGTACTTGTTACATATAGTATACATTATTTCAACTTTAGAATAATTTTGTGTTCATTTTTAGTTTTTTTTTAATTGTTGCAGTTTTATATGCTCATTAAGAATATGTTACTTTTACTTTTTAATGTAATTTATTTCTGTGATATGAAAAATTAATTTTCAGTTTCCATTAATTCAGCCTTCAATGTCATCTGATTCTTCAAAAACCATTTAAATATGCTGATGTGGTGCTAAGTAAATAAGAATAATAATAATCATTATTATAATTAGTACTTTTGAAAACAATGTTGAAAATGTTTTTGGAATACTGGAAAGATGACCACTTTTTATTTTAAATTATGCAAAAATAACATTTTTAAAATTATTTTTTTGTCAAATTGATGCATCCTTGATATGCTAATGAAATGTTTTCGGAAGTATTATAAACACTTAACCTCCAGTACATCAATAAAAGCTTATTTTTTTCCAAAAAGGAATGTAATGCAAAGTAAAAATCATTTGAAAATAAATTAAATATTAAAGTAAAATGAATAAATATGTTGCCCTTTAAGTTCCAATAAATTATATCAGCAATATTAAACTTGTATTTATTGAATTTCTTCAGGTTGAGTCCTGTAATTTTCTTGTGTGTTATGTTTCACAGCTGCTCCTCTTGACAGTATCCAGAGTCTTGCTGCGTACTATGTGGAGTGTGTGAGGCAGGTTCAGCTGGAGGGCCCATACCGCATCGCTGGATACTCGTTCGGGGCGTGTGTGGCGTTTGAGATGTGCTCACAGCTGCAGTTGGCCAAATGCCCCGTGGAATATCTGTTCCTGTTCGATGGCTCGCACTCTTATGTGGCAGCATATACACAGGTGCAGTACGAGAGCTCAGGAAACCCCAAAAAAGAAAAATGTAATGCACCAGGTTGATCACATGATCTTTTTTTCTTTGATAGAGTTACAGAGCCAAACTGACTCCTGGCAAAGAGTCTGAAGCTGAGACTGAAGCTCTGTGTGCTTTCATCCAACAGTTCACCGGCATTGAGTATAACAAGGTACAGTTATGTTTGTGGTTTGGGCTTAAAAAATGAAAACAATAAAATAAAAAATATTTATAATAAAAATAATAAAACTTAATAAAATTAAATTACATATTTTTACTAAATAGAATAATAAAATAAAAATAATATAAAATTGAATATAAAATGAAATAAAATAATAAAATAAAATAATAACACTAATATAAAATAATATAAAATAATTTTATTAAATGGAAAACTATATATATATATATATATATATATATATATATATATATATATATATATATATATATATATATATATATACTAGTAGTAAAAGATAAAACAAAACATAAAATAATACAATTAAATATTAAAATATAAAATTAAATATTAAAATATCAAATTAAAAATAATAAAATTACATTAAATAAGAAATATAAAATAATAAAATTAAAATAATAAAATATATAATAAAATAATACAATAAAATAAAATAATATATAATAATTAAATATTAAACAAAATAATATAAAATAATTAAATATTAAATAAAATTTAATTAAACAAAAATATATAAAATAAAATATTGAAACTAAATAAAATAATAAACCTAAATAAAATAATAAAATTAAATAAAATATAAAATAAAAAACTACATAAAATAACAAACTAAATAAAATGTAAAGAAATACTTTAAAAATATATATAATAATAATAATAATAAATAAAACCATATAACCATTGTAGTATTCCCATACTTTCCCAGTTAATTGATTACATTAAAATTTGTTTGTATCATGTACATAAAAGTGAAAGGTTTTAATAGAGAAATCTCTTTTTGCCATAATTTTTAATTCATATTGCAGAAAATACTGTGAACACCCAGTAAAGGAATACATACTTTAAAATACATAATTCTTTGTAAAATCATATTTTCTGGCAAATTATGAATGAACAAATCCCTCGGTTAAAACCTTCAGAATATAGAAAGCAATAAAGCTTTGTTTGGTGTGTAGAATTTTTCCTTTATGTAAATATATAACTTCATTCTAGAGAATAATCCTATTTTAAGAAAACAATCTTTAAAATATGTATTGTAATCAAATTTACAAAAAACTCCTACAAAAAGTGTGATAAAGGAACGATTAAATGTGTATATTTGATGCTTTCTTTACATTACATTACCGGTATATTTAAAAAGAAAGCAATTTATGGAAAGCCAAAAAGGAAAAAGTGGAAGGTGAATAAACAAAGACAGAATATTTTTTTTATGAACTATCCTTTCAATCATGGGTCTCAAACTGGATTCCTGGAGGGCCACAGCTCTGCACAGTTGTTCTCCAACCCTAATCAAACACTGCTGATCCAACTAATCAAGGTGTTCACGACTACTGGAGACTAATAAACAGGTTTGAGTTGGAGGTGGTTAGAGCTAAACTCTGCAGAGCTGTGACCTCCAGGAATCGAGTTTGAGACCCATGCTATAAACAGTCTAATAAAATGAAAATAGTCCAGTCATCACCATTCATTCACATTAATGCAAAGCTAATGCAGTTTCTGTATTCTGCCTGTTTGACGCAGCTGTTGGAGACGTTGCTGCCTCTGTCAGACCTCGAGGCTCGTGTGGACAAGGCTGTTGATCTGATCACATCCAGCCATAAGAACGTCAGCCGAGATATGCTCCATTTTGCTGCTTCTACATTTTACCACAAACTCAAGGCTGCCGACCGCTACGTTCCCACTTCCAAATATCACGGCAATGTCACCCTACTGAGAGCCAAGGCCAGCAGCGAGTACGGAGATGGATTGGGATCAGACTACAAACTGCACGAGGTATGTAGATGAATTGCACACACAGGGGAAAATAAAAACTACTTTAATACTACACACTGATACAAACCACCTGCCATTAATTGGTGTAAAAGATACGTATTTTGTTGAAATATTTACATTTAAACGACGATTTTAATGCTGATTTCTAAACAGAGTGGATAAGGAAATGTTTAGACCTTCTTTTTAGAACGCAAAACTACCCATCGCGCTTTGCGTGTATGCACAAAGAGAATGCTAAGAAGATAAACAAATGAAGAGTCACATTTGGAAAGCTTTGAAACACTAGTTTTAATCTATTTTACTTGCTTTTTAACATCTTTGAACTAATACTGCTGTCAATCAGCGCCACCTCCTGGACTAGTTATTTAAAAAAATGCAATCCATAGGTTGGAAAACAACTGCTGCGAGGCATTTTCCCCTTGTTGTCAGACGGCATCTTCTGCCTTTTAAATGAAGCCTCGTCATAGTCAACAGTTTCTCTTTCTTTCAATCATATAACCAACCCAAACAAATGTAATTCACCTAAATGTTTGACACGCACATGTAGCTTGTACTGTCCCACTAACTTACTGATTGAAAGTGTCACAAAGTGAAAATAACGTGGCGTTTTGAAATGACAGAAAAACACGTGCCGTGGTAAATACTACACAATATAAACTGAATGAAATGTAACTGCTCCCGATTAGAATCAACATGCAACTCAGACATTTTAGTAGTTTAAGACAAGATATTGTCTATAAAATAATATAAAGCAGAAAATGTACTGGCAGTTTGTTACCAGGTTTTTACAGCACGGACAGTATATCACTTTAAACTATTAAAAATGCCATCAAGAGTCACTTTTTCAAACTTTTCAACATCTAAAGCATTCGGAATACAGATCAAGATCCCATAATGCAATTCAAAAACATAAATAAGTTACACATGAAATCACAAAATTTGGGAAAACTGCTCCTTTACAATATTTTTTTAACAGCTGCTTTGACACAATCTACATTGTATAAAGTGCTGTGATGAATTGGACAAAATCTGCATACTTTTAATCACAGAGGAACTACTTCTGGATCTGGGAAGTGGATTAAGCTGAGAGGAAGATTTCAACTTCAGTGTTGCTATATGTTCATGTCATTCATCAGTATTAACGGCTGGGTTGTGGTTTGTCTGCAGGTGTGTGACGGGAAGGTGTCAGTTCATGTGATCGAAGGCGACCACCGGACCTTCCTGGAGGGTGAAGGTGTTGAGTCTATTTCCAGCATCATCCACAGCTCACTGTCTGAACCCAGAGTCAGCACACGAGAGGGCTAAACCTTCGCATAAAACCTCTTTTACTGTATTTCTGTATTTCTTCACCATATTTCCGTAGCTTTCACCTTTCACAATGCACTGTCGTTGCATGTTTAACCATTCCCAATCTCTTTATAACTCTCACCCACAAAATAGCCTTATAAAACGTCTTTTTTCAATATCTTGGATGCTTAGCACACTTTATTCCTCACTTAAAGGTTTATATTCCATGCTGGGAACAAAAACACATCTGTTTGTTTGCTTTTTGTGCGATAGTTCACCCAAAAATGACATCTTTAAGATGACATATTTTCAAAAAATGTAAGATATTGTATAGAATTGACTACCACAGTATTTGTTTTCCAACTATGGATACCAATAGCTTACATTCTTTAAAATATCTTCTTTTGTTTTGACTAAATAGTGAGTAAAGTTAATTTTTGGGTGAATTGTCCCTATATAAACTTAATCCATTCTATAAATCTACTGTGAAATCTTTAAACTCCACAGATTTCTGGCATGTGGGTGAATTGAATGCCATCACTGACTCTTGTCTAACCTCTGAAAGTCTGCTAAAGGTTCTATGTGTTCATCTACATTCAGTTTTCTTCCATTCCAACCTAATGATGCGGACTGCAATTCAAGGCTTTACTGTATACAAGTCCACATGTTAGCTGTTGGAAATCTAGTTACGCAAATGGCTGAGATTGCTGTTTACCAATGTTTGAGCAGTTACTGATGCTTCTGCAGTACTAGTTGATACTAGCTTCACTTGTTTACTGTAATATAGCGGTTTGGCTTGTTTTTGAATGATATTCGCCAGGTTCTCTTGATGTTGAGCATCTAAAAAAAATGGTGCGTTTAAAGAGAAAGTATATATGAAAATATTCTTGGATGGAATAAGCGTTAAAAGGGATAGTTCACCAAAAAATGAAAATTCTGCCATCATTCACTCTATACCTGTTTGATTGTCTGTCTTTTGTTCAACACAAATTCTTTTTGTTCCTATTATGGAAGTCAACACTCTTCAGAATATCTTTTGTGTTCAACTGAAGGAAGAAATTCATAGAAGTGTACAACCACTCGAGCGTAAGTAAATGCTGAGGACATTTTTATTTTTAAGTGAACTGGCCCTTTAAGAGAGCTGGCTTATTGACTTCTTGTTAATGTTTACGTTTAAGTTATGGGTTCATTCTGGAATGTTGTTACTTTAAAAGGATCTGGTATCTATGGAAGCTTGTTCCCGCCACTGAATAAAATAAATAAACAAATCAATACAATGTAAAAAAAATTATAAAGTCAGAATTGTGAATTTATAACTCGAAATTCTGACTTAACTTGAATTTCTGACTTAATAACTCGGAATTCTGACTTAACTCAGAATTGCAACTTTATAAATCAAAAATGCGACTTTATAATTTGGAAGTCTGACTTTATAACTCAGAATTCTGACTTAATAACTTGCAATCCTGACTTGATAACCTGAAATTCTGACTTAACTAGGAATTGTGACTTTATAAATCAGAATTCTGACTTAATAACTTGCAATCCTGACTTGATAACCTGAAATTCTGACTTAACTAGGAATTGTGACTTTATAAATCAGAATTCTGACTTAATAACCTGCAATTCTGACTTAAAAACTCATAATTCAGACTTAACTCAGAATTGCGACTTTATAATTCGGAATTCTGACTTTATAACTCAGAATTCTGATTTTTTTTAAATGTATTCAGTGTGGGAACAGGCTTCCATAGTTCCATAGTCACTGTTGCACAGGCTAAAAGCAATTAAAGCACTAATGTGAAATGCTTGGCAATCCCCAGTGAAACGTTAGCTTTGCTACTTAACCCTTGACCAATAACTGGAGTATTAATCTTCTGTTGATGTTTCTCGTCTTCTTTTTGAGGATCGTACCAACATTCCTTCTTCCTGCTGTATATGTTCTGGTATTAATTGGCTGCTTGAATATTTCATACAGTAAGTTGTAGCAAATTCTTCTGTAAGTTCATAGCGCAAAATCACTTGTTTTATCTTAAATCTTGTCAGAATGAAGTGTCGTTTGGTGTAGGAGTGCACTATGGGACGTACGAGTAATTTCCTAACAGTGACACGATTATTGACTATTCTGTCACAGCAGGAAAATATCCCTTTTTTAGAAAGCAAATCACTTTATTTCTGAGACTAATTCTCGAAGTCGGTGACGAACTGTGATTTCTTTCAATGTTTAGAGCAAAGCTGAAAGAGCTAGAGTTCATTTTTTCTATTTTTTGGTGTTATTTTCCCTGTATTTATTGTACTAGTTCAAATAAACAAAGTTATTACTAACATATACACATCCAGAGTGGACTGATTAGTTTTTTCTCCAGAAATATTGGATATTCTGAAACTGGCATTAATCTAAGTTTCTATATATTATTCAAAGCCAAAAGAGATTAAAAACATAACGGGTTGGACAATGAAACTGAAATGCCTGCTTTTAGAGCACATTAATTCATTGTTATGGTGTAGGTCAGGGGTCACCAATCTCGATCCTGGAGGTCCGGTGCCCTGCAGGGTTTAGCTTCAACTTACCTCAAAACACCTGCCTGGGTGTTTCAAGTATACCTAGTAAGACCTTGATTAGCTTGTTCAGGTGTGTTTGATTAGGGTTGGAGCTAAAATCTGCAGGACACCGGAGCTCCAAGAACACGTTTGGTAATCCCTGGTGTAGGGTGTCCTTTTACAGCCAATGCAGAATCTATTCGTCATAGGAATGACAGATACAAGCCCTGCACAGTGGCCAGAGGGATTTTGAGCCATTCTTCTTGCAGAATAGTGGCCAGGTCTTTAGATGATGCTGGTGGAGGAAATCATTTACTGACGTGCTCCTCCAAGACACCCCAAAGTGGCTCAATAATATATGGGTTTGGTGACTGTGCAGGCCATGGGAGATGTTCAGCCTCACTTTCATGTTCTTCAAATCCCACTGTCACAAGTTTTGCTGCGTGTATTGGTGTATTATTGTCCTGATACATGCCACCGCCTTCATTATACAATGTTTAAACCATTGGGTGCACTTGGTCCTCTAAAATGGTTTGGTAGTCTTTGGAAGTGCGCACACGTACATTTTCACAGTATTTCGTATAAAAATGTCTCGGAGAAAGTCTTATTTATTTCAGTTTGGATAGAAAACCATTTTCTTTTTTTTTTCTATTTTACACATTTTTAAGATCAATATTATTAGCCACTTTAAGATTTTGTTGTTTGATTCCAGACAAACCACCGTTATCCAGTATTGCCTAATTGACCTATTAAAGCTTTCCAATTAACCTGAATAGTATCTTACTTAATATCTAGAAGGATATATATGTATACACTCAGTAGAGATAAAAATTGAGGACTATTTATTTGTTAACTTTCTTCCGCCAAGAAATAATGTGACAAATCTGGGGCCACAGGACATTGCTACTGTCTCCTCCACTAGTGATTGCCTATAGTGGTTTTCCTGGGTGTAGGGAATGACATGGTATAGCAGCCAAAACCATCACTGATCCACCCTCATGCTTCACTCTGGCTGTGCAACAGTCTAGGGCAGGGGTGTCAAACTCAATTCCTGAAGGGCCGAATCCCTGCACAGTTTAGTTCCAACCCTGCTCCAACACGCCTACCTGTATGTGTCAAACAAGCCTGAAGGACTCAATTAGTTTGATCAGGTGTGTTTAATTAGGGTTGGAACTAAACTGTGCAGAGCTGCGGCCCTTTTGAAACTGAGTTTGACACCTGTGGTCTAGGGCATACCCTTCTTTGGGGCTTCTCCACACGGTAACTCACTCAGATGTGGGAAAGAGAGTGAAGGTGGACTCATCAGAGAACAATACATGTTTCACATTGTCATTTCACCGTCTTAAAATACTAAATAACTGTTGTTATCCTTTAAATCACTAGGTTTTACCCAATTGTCATACCTTAAAATATAATAATAGTTAGCATATCATCAAATCAAAGACCATAGAATACCTTAAAGTAGGGGTGTCAAACATACGGCCCGCAAACAGGTTTAATCTGGCCAGCAAATTGATTCTGTAAAGTATAAAAATAAGATGCAATTTTTCAATAAAAGAAACTGCGCAATGGCGCAAACTGTTACAAACTGTTCATTTAATCCGATCTTGATGCCTGAATCCGCATCAGTGTGACCGCGTTCTCGAAGAGAAAGACCACTTCTATGCCCTGCTATACCACACTGAGGTGTTTTCAAGAAAACATAACTATTTCACGTTAAGTCAGTTTAGTGGCTAATTCGTACGAGTTCAGTCGTACGAAAATATACAATGTAAAAAAAAAAAGAAGGCGTGGCACCCAACCACACCCCTAAACCCAAACGTCATTGGTGGATAAGCAAATCCTACTAAATTGTACGAATGAGATCGTATTCATATGAATTAGCCACTAAATCAAAAAGTTACAACTTGTCATGAGAGCGTGTTGTCCTCAGGCTCCAGTGTAATGTTTTTATGTTGATCGCATAAAAAAAAATTAAAAAATATTGTTTTTAAGTTATACTGTGTATACCATGATTTTACCAGTCAGGCCCACTTGGGAATAGATTTCCTTCATGTGGCCCCTGAGCTAAAATGAGTTTGACACCCCTGCCTTAAAGGGACTTTGATATAGTACATTTATTAATATTATTATTATTTAATATGCAATGTATATAAAAATCCCTTTATGCAACCAAAATAAAATAAACATTATTATAAGCCAATTTTATATTTCTATTTTTATTAAACAAAACTGAAAATCCGTAACAAAATATACTCGTCCACCAAATAAAAAAAAGTGGTCACGTTCATTTTTAAAAGCATCCCATTTAAAGATTTGAGTAGCTGTGATGTATTTTGTATACTTTTTTTGGCTTCAGAATAAAAAAATGTAAAAAAAAAAAAACAATATTAACATATTTACAAAAAGATGAAATTACAAACATTCAACAAGTTTAAATCCATATCCGCTCTTTACATTCGTACTCATGCATTGCATAAAGGCACAGTGTGATAGGGAGATGCATGCAGAGTATAAGCAAATGGCCAATACAAAACAATTCATGCTAACTGTCAAATCAGTTATACACGTAGCAGAACACAGAGGAATCGCGTACACTTTACAATAAGATTTCAGTAGTTAACGTTTACTAACATGATCAAACAATGAACGATAGATGTATTCCAGTATTTATTCATCTTTGCCAACGTTAGTTCCGTAACTGTTAGATCTTGTTAGCACACAGTGCATTAACTAAATGTTTACAAGTACAACTTTGAATTTTATGTATGCATTATGATTAATAAATGCTGAATTGTTTGCTCTTAGATCATGTTAGTAAATGCATCAACACCCAGAGTCTTAAAGTGTGAACGAGAAATCCTCTTTAAAGATGCAAGTGAAAATGCTTGGAGATTGTCATCAGGTTGTTTGTACGACTGGAATGTTTGGTTGTTTTAGTTTGAGGCTTGATCCAGTGTCGTCCACCATTTCCCAGCTTTCCATGAGGCTTTTAATGTTCTTCATCATCATCACCATCAGGATCATCTTGTGAATCACTGCTATCACCCAAACCCAAATCTTCAATGCCGTCATCATCGTCAGGATAATCATCGTCCGCCAAACGTTGCTGTAATTCCTCCAGCCCCAAAAAGCGCTTCAGAAGTGCAGCGAGTGCCTCAACATCACTGAACAAAAAGCCAAACTAACTTAATAACAGCAATTGTCAAGCACATTGCAAAAAAAAAAAAAAAAACAACAACTGAAGAGTGTAAAATAAATGTACTATACTGTATTATTTTCATACGTTCCTTTAAACGTCATAGCAATATTGTGAATTGAAATGAAATGATTAATTGTGTCCAGTTTTGTCAAGAATTTTTATTAATTATGGTGGCTTGAGAAAGCTAACGTACTGTTCCGCTACATTAACTTATTCTTCTTCCAGCTTCTTTTATCAAGAGTTCACATTTAGCTGATGATTAAGCTACTTTGGCATGCTCTCCCAGGAGATAGCCCTGAGTTTAAAAGGTCCCTGAGCCCGGGGCTCCCTCCAGTTGCAAGGCGAGGGGGGAGTTTAAGCTCAGGTGGATCTTGAGAACTCCCCTGCTTTAGTAACCGATGAACAGATAGTGATTTGCTCTTAAGAGATAACTACTTACTAGGAGCATGTCTATAGTGCCGATTTGGATTAGTCAATTAACTTAAGTTGCATGTTTTTGGACGGTGGGAAGAAACCCGGGGAAAACCCACGTGAGCACGGGGAGAAAGTGCAAACTCTGCACAGAAACGCCTGCTGGTTTTCTAAAGCCTGGAACCAGAAGCATTTTTGCTGTGAGGCAACAGTGCTAAGCACTGAGCCACCGTGTCACCGATCTTAGAAGGAGTAGGGGTGGATAAGGGGATTCTTCAAAACGAAGATAGCGTTGGAATGTAACCCAGGGTATTTGTAGTGGCTTAGGAGTCATCTGATTGGTGCATTGAGAATTATATAATGCGGATCCAGCCGCTAGCAATCATAAGCACGTGATCCTCTCGAAATTAGTTTATAAATAAACTTCACTCTGAGACTAATTTCTATATGCATCTCCTCCTAGCCCACTCATACTACAACCACCAAACTTACTCCAAACCTACAAACTGGCCTGACTCGGGTTGCTATGTCTTTTCCAACTGGTCCAACTTACAGTTTTCCGAAAACTGTCTGGGAAAATTCGGAAAAGTCCCATTGACTTAACGTTGGACCAAACTTTTTGATCACCTTTCAACCTCATAGCCACACCCTGGCAACCACTAACAGCACCCTAGCAACTGTCCCATAGACTTCCATTGTAAAAAAACTGCCATTGACTTTACATTAGACATACTAACAACATGCCAATTAATACAAACAATATACTAATCAGTGGCGTAGCGAACGGGCCCCCCGTCTGTTTCAACCTTAAAATCTACTACAATGATTTAAAGTTTTAAACTACTTTAGACTTTCAGACGAGGCTTTCTCAAGCTTTCTCTGCTTTTGCTGTTTACTTATTTTTTGATAGTAATGCATTCTGACGAATAGTTTAAAACAGATGCCCAATGTTGGCCCTTTGTAGCCTTTGATTTGGCCCACCATCCCATCTTAAAGTGGGTAAGAATGATAAAGAGGGTGTTTTATTGCTGAGCTACAAAAAAGCTGATTAAAATTAAATGTTTCAATGAAATGTTGTGAATGAATGTGATTTTTCTTAATGTAAAGAGTCACAAGTCACTGGACATATAGAGGACTATGCAGAAGACATCCGTGAGCAAATCAAGGTAAAAACTACTG